GTTAGGGCGGCGGTTAGGGTTTAAGGCTCAGGGTCTAGGGTTTAGGGATTGGGATCCACTCCCCCCACTCCCCCACTCCCGCTGAAGAGCCAGAAAGGTTTTTGTGGTTAAGGCTTTAGGCTTTCGGCTTTGCAGGTTTATGCCCCTGTATTTGAAAGCCTTCTCCCCTGGGGCCCCAACATTGGCGCTGGCCAGGTTGAACCCTGGACCAAGAGCCTACGGCCTCCTTCGTTCGAAGCTTAGTTTTGTTTTCTTTTGGGGGGGGTGACGGCGTTTGAGGGTTGGTGGAGTTACGATTTTGGGGGACGGTGTTCAGGTTGGTTGGGGAGTCTAGAGTTTTAGGGCTTATATCGGGGTAATATTGGGATAATGGAGAAGAAAATGGAAACTACTATATTGGGTTTAGGGTTCGGGGTCTTCGGTGTTTTTTGGGGTTCCAAACTTTAACCAGAACATGACCCAGCCCCACCTGCGCAGGAGTTCGCAGAACAAATAGCGCCGATCCGAGATTTCTGCCGTGTCACTTCTTGCTGGCACCATGTTTTCCGTGTTTTTGCTCTATGGACCCTGGTCAGCATTCTGTCAGAAGGGAAGAGCCCACCATCCACCCCAACAACCTAACCGCTTTTTGGGGTACAATCCAAAGGGAGCTGGGAGCCAATAATCCAGAGTCCCAAACTCTACTCTACACTTTAGAGCCAGTACCTGGCCTACACCCTAAACCCTAAGCCCTAAACTCCGAACCCTAAGTCCTAAACCCTATATCCTAAGCCCAAAATCCTAAACCCTATACCCCAAACCCTAAATCCTAAATTCTACACCCTAAATCCTCAGGTCCCTGCAAGCCTGGGCTCCGGCTCTTACGGCCTGCAGCCCCAGAGAATGCTGGCAGCTTCTGAAGGGCTAAGAGAAAGGTTTTGATCCACATGGTTTAGGGTAGAAGAGGGTTTATGGTTGAGGGTTTGGGGTTGAGGGTTTAGGGTCTAAACTCCTTAGAGGGGGTTACACAGGAACTTCATATATGGGACAACTATAGCGGTTAACAAGGGGGATACTAGGAGCTTAGACAATGGCTCATATGGTTTAGGGTTTGGGGTTGGGGGCTTATGGCCACGTAGGGGACAGGTATCTTGAACAGCTATAACATGGTTTAGGGTTGGGGGCTACTCAAAAGTCCAAAGCCTTGAGCCCTTGTTTAGCTTGGGGCTTAGGGATTTGGCAGGAACTAAGATTAATTATCGGGTGTCAGTTTGAGCTAAGATTGATTATCGGGTGTCGGTGTGAGGCCTGAAAACAGGGGTGTTTCTACAGTTTGGAACCATTCCATTCATGATTTGTAGGGATTATGTTCCGGATACCCTCCCCCAGTATGTTTTGCCCAGTGCCAAGCAGAGGTATTCTGAAGGTTGCCCACGCCATTTCCGTCAACGCCTAGATTATGGTTTGCTTAGAGCCCAGGTTGGAGGACGTCCAGGCTTGAAGAGAGGGGGAGGGGCTTGACAGGACATTTCATAATATCACCAAATTGCTCCATAAGGGGGCCTGTATAGCGCCACCCAGTTTTGACATTTTGTTAAGAATGGTCTAGTGGGTTTCGCCAGCCCGTGAACCGTTGCATGGGAGGAAGTCTATGGTATGTACCCTACACCCTAAACACCCTAAACCCTACATAGTAGTTTCCATATTCTTTTCCATGATCCCAATATGGAACCCCAATACAACCCCCTAAACCCTGAACCCTAAACCCTAAACCCTAATATACCTGCATAGAGTCATCATTCCGAGGCTTTGGGGGTGATCTAGGACTCCTTTTATAGGGGTCCCCAGAATAGGGATTATATTGGATTATAGCACTTTGGAAACTATATTGGGGTCCCCGTCATCATAAGGACTATAGTATATTGGGGACTATATTGGGCTCCCTCTCGACTACAGGTGGAATTACTCAACAATGCCCGGGCATATCAGGTATATACCTGCCTCTGAACCCGAAAGCCGAAACACCTGGTAAATCTAAAATGCGGACACCCATGATGCCTATAGAACCCTATGTACCCCCAGTGTCCCCAAACGCCCTTATGTTGAGAACCCTGAACCCTAAACCCCAAACCCTAAACCCCAAACCCTAAATCCTAAACCCTTAAACCCTAAACCCTCAAACCCTAAACCCCCAACCTTAAACCCTAAACCTTAAACCCTAAACCCCAGACTCTAAACCCGAAACCCTATTAGTAGGTGTTCTTTGGCCCTACTGGCACTGCAGGTCCCTGTAGGGCCGCAACTCTCTACGACATCTCGGTGGGCCCCTAAGCTTCGGGTGGGTGGGTTAAGGTTTAGGTTTTAGGCTTTAGGGCTAAGGGTATAGGGTTTAGGATCCAGGGTTTAGAGTTCAGGATGCTGGGGTCCCTTTTTTCTGGAAACCACCATATAGGGGTGGGAGCGTCGCGTCACGCTTGGACCCAGCTGAGCATTGTCCCGTGCTGGTTTTGCCCAGGATCAAGAATTAATCTGAGGTCAGCTAGGGTGGGTGATGCGTGTGTCCCCAAGGTCATAGATCGTAAGCCTCCTAGGAGGGCTCGGACTACGGAATAGCAATTTAGGGTTTGTGGTCCAGGCTTCCGAGTTCAAGTTCTCAAGGTGCGTAGTGCGAGAATATGATTATATAGCCCTATAAACCCCTTAGCCCTAAACCCAATCCACAGGGTTCCCTTCAGAAGTTGCGCATACTTTGTCAGATGAAGCCCTCCTAAAGCTGCGTGAGCCTTGTTTTAAGCAAACAGGTTTGCGCATTCCTTGTTGCTGCCACTGTTGATGCTGAAAATCCTCAATGACCACGGGTACTCTAAACCTCGGGAATTCTGGTGTATTTCTCATACCGAGATCATGCAGGATTTTCTAGAATCAGCAGTAGCGAGCATTTGCAGGGGAAAAAACCCAACTCACATCCTCGCTGCGCTTCGGGACCTTTGGCCTCAAGTCTCTAAGCCCATCACGCCTTTCCTCGCCCATGCGGGGTACATTCTACAAGAAAGTTCTCAAGATAGCGGGCCACTTGGATGCTTCAGCCATGTCAGGGTGGTATCTGGGGTTCCTTGCAGGTGGGTCGAGTAATCACCTGGCAAGTAGTTTCCACAATTAGTGGAAAACTCTATACACTTTAGGCGGAAAAATAGCAGAATCCTGACTATGGGGACCCTCAAAAGGTACCCCTACTTTTGGGAAACCCACTCTACATATCCCGTTATAACCCCTCTATATCCCTTACATAGGTCCTATATTCCCTTTAAAGGGACACAAATTCATCGAGCAACACCCAGTGACTAAAGCTGAGCCTGCCCAGCTCTATTATTGAGTGAGCTCGCTTCCAACCCTTAAAGTTTAGGGTTTAGGGTGCTTTTAAAAGAGGTATGGTTTCTACGGGTTATTCAGGGATTGTATAGAGTTTAGGGTGTAGAGTTTCTCAAAATTTGGGGCACGTTCTGGGGGGTTACGTATCGTAAGGATTATCGTATTTGGGGGTCTGTATCGGGTTGCCCCTGTTTTGGGAAAGTCCTACCTGGATCCTACAAGTATCTAGAAGAAGAGACAATTGCTGTTTTGGGTCGCCATTGTTACCCACCTTTGGTGTCCAGGCAAACTTGCCGCCTGAATAATACGCGGTTTAGGGTTTAGGGCTACAACAAGCCCTAAACCCTAAATCCTAAACCCTACACCAGCTTTCGTCTATTTCGGCCTTTACCTTGGACTTGCATGTTGGGGGCTGAGACTGGGCGCCGGGTCCTTTGGATGATCTGACGGTTTCCCAGGGGGCCAAAATATTGTAATCCGTATTATGAGAACCCCAGAAGGTGCCCTTAGTTTTGGGAAACCCCCATTTAGGTTTTGTTGCTTCGATTTAGGGTTTGGATCAAGGGTTCCAGGGTTGTACCCGTAAGGTCGTACCC